TCCAACATGGCGCCAGGGGAGAGAAACCAGTCTCAAGGAGCATCCGTGCCATTGCAGGTGCATGGAACCTCCTGAACCCAGAAATCCCTGGAGATCGGAGGCAGCTGAGGGGCTGCCAGCGCTGGGGGGCTGAAGGGGTACAAGTGGTGACAGGAGTGAGGAGCCTGCTAGATTTTGAACTGCTGGGACTCAGATAGTGGTGATGGTTCCCAGCCTGGAGAATACACTGAAAACCAGCGGATGATTTCATTTAAAGGGTGACGCTTACGGCATGCAAATGACATCAGTGTTTTCACCGCCTCCTCGGAGAGGCCTCCCAGACTTCCCAGGACCCCCCTCTCCCTGGGGTTCCCTGCTCATTCACTCACAGCCCCACTGCTTGTCAATCTCCCCATGGGGTAGGTAGTGTGCATAATGGCCCTGGAGCTGTCCTGTCCTCATCCCAAGAGCCTTGAATGTGTGCCCTCTTAAGGCAAAAGGGACTTGGCAGATGTGGATCTGTTAGGTAGGAGATAGGGCATGGGGAAGGGACCACCCTTGTGGCTCTTAGTCCCACTCGGGCTCTCAAACCCCACCCAGCACTGCACCAGAAATCCCTTCCTGTGACAGAAAACCAGGCCTTCTCACAGTTAAAGGAGGAAAGCTGAGGACCATAGGGGAGTTCAAAACCCTGAAGAGAAAGTCCCTGTCTTAGGCCTGCTCAGTAGCCGGAGAGACTTACCCAAAGTTAACTTGTTAACCAGTTAACATACCGTCAGCATTGCAGTGTTCTCCCCTTCTGTGAATTTTCCTGGGGAAAAGGAAACTTGCACACGGATAATAGAGAAATTATGTCAAATTCAACTGTAAATCAAGGTGCCAATCAACTCTAGATTGACCCTGGACAGAAAGGGGAGAACTAGCCAAGCCCAGTAAAACCAGCTCCGCTGTGCAGAAGAGCTCCTTAGCAGCTTGGCCGGCTCTGCTCTCACAGAGGAGGAGAGAGGGTGAGGAGTAGGGGGAGCCCTGGAGCAGAAGGGAGTGGAGATGCCGCTCTGCAGCTTGGAGGAAGTGGCAGGAGCCTCGAGCCCAGGAGGGTGGTGGCCTCCTGGAGCTGGAAGAGTCAGACACACCTCCTCCCCCACAGAAGCCCCCTAAAGACCCCAGCCACTGAGCCCTTGATTTCAGCCCATAAAAACGGAAAGACTGGAGTTTTGTGTGAGAGTGAGCAGAAGCTGAATGTTCAGAGTTTTGGGAGCATTGGGAGGAGTGTCACTGACCTTGCATAAACGTCCCAGGTCCACGTGTCAGTGCCACCTCTGTATCAACCTGACTTTGACACGAGAGCCTTGGCCAGGTTTGAACACAGCTCACCCAGCAATTCTGCAGCCCACACTACTAAATCAGAGACCTGGGTTCCAGCCACTGCTGCCCTGGGGCTACAGGACCCCGCAATATTTGGGGGACAAGGAACAGCCTCCCTGGTGTTTTGGCTTTCACTGGAGAGCAGGCTGGACTCTTCCTTTCTGAGATCCCCTGGGAGTCAGAAGAGTCTCTCCACCCCTGGTTCTTATGGGGTCATCGTCTCTGTTTGTGGCCGCGAGGTGGTTGCTTTCCCAAAGCCTGGCTTCCCACAGGGACTGTCCCTGAGCAAGCTCAGCTCACACCTGGAGGCTCTGGGGGGTCACTTTGTGCCTTGCGCCTCCCACATCCCACTTTCCATTGGCCAGATGCCCCTGCGCTCTGCAAGTACTGGCAACGTCACTCTTGCACCGCGGTTGGCAAGAGTGGGGACCGCCTTTCACTGAGGAGCTAGAGGACAATCGGCTGACTGTGCGCCGACTGAGCTGGCGGAGAGGGCAGTGGGGAGTGCCGCAGTCTGGCTGGGCACAATTCAGGAGCCACTTGTCAAAAGAAACGAACTTTATTTTTAGAACCACACACACCAAACAAAACAGCTCCTCAGGAAAAACCCTCAGAGCCCAACTGCCACCACCGGCTTCCCACAAGCCTCTCCACCTCCCCCACTCCTCCTGCTCTTGAGGCCGATTGGCTGGGTTGTGTGGGCGGAGCCAAAAAAGTCCCCCAATGAGCAGCTCCGTGGCTTGAAAGGGCAGGGAAACAGCCCAATGAGCATCACCGCAGAGGAGCCAATCAGCTAGAAGTTGCTGGGGCCGCTGTGAGCCAATCATCAGCCAGCAGCTGGAAGTTTGCTGGGGCCCCTTCAGCTGTGGCTCTCAACAGGGAGACCGCCCTCTGACCTGGGGGGCGGCCGGCCCTGCCCTCCCTCCTGTGCGCTGGGAGCCTGGGCGTGCTCCTCCTGCCTGCCTGCCCAACAGAGGCATGAGGCCACAGCCTGGGGGACCCCACCCCTTCAGGTCCTGCCTCAGAGCCTCAGCCCACAGAGAAGTCACCGTTTTCTCTGGCCAACCCCTGGCCTCCTTTCTTGGAGTATTTACTGCAAAGGGCTTAGAACTGTGACTGGTCTCTAACTCAGAAGGGTCTCCCAAGCCTTTCCTTTGAACTGTGACCATCAGGAGCAGGGGACCCTGTCTCCCAGTCTCTACAGGAGGACAGAGCCCTGAGGGAACCCCTGATGGCGCTCACACTGATCAGCCCTCTCCTCCTCCCTCACGGCCCCTTTAAATACCGGGTCACCTCTGTCAGAAGTTGGCCGATGCACTGTGGCTGGTTTCCAGCAGTGTCCGCTGTGAAACCCACGTTTACCAAGCTGCCCTGAGCACGGGCAGCTTCAGAGCCCACCTGCCTGGAGCCAGCCTCGCAGCTGGTCCAAAGGTTCAGACTGTTTCCAGCATCGTGCGGAGAAAGGTCGCCACGGGGAGAAGGACGGTCGCGAGGACATTTATTGTGCAGCTCCCTGGAAGCAGGGTGGGGGCCCCACGCCCCACCAGCCCCTTGGGCAGCACCAGGGCCGGTCAGAAGAGCAGCAGGTGAGTGTCGGGAGCTGCCACACAGGAACCGAGTGCCCCTCAGCCCTGAGCGATGCGAGAGTGCAGGTGTGGGGAGCCCGCTCTGGGCTGGGGGTGAACCGTGGGCACTGAGCGCACAGGGCGGGCGGAGCCCACGTGGCCCCTCTGTTTGGGTGGGCCTCAGTCTGTCTTTTCACTGGCCCCGCCTTGATCCCCACACAGCTCATGAGATGGGCGTGGCCTCCCCAGGTGTCAGTCAACCGCTGACAGCAGACATCAGGAAGCTGGACTCAACCCCTGACCCCTGAGCCCTTGCCTCATTTGAATGGCTTCTCCCCAATAAAAGGGGTCACTCTCTCTTTCCACAGACTCCTAAGGTTGGAGGAGCCGTCACACGACCCAAAGAAAAAGGTGTTTCTCCGTCTCTGTGTGGTTATTTCTGGCAGCCAGTTCACCTGGAGTGACCCTGAGTGTTTAGTCGTGGGTCGCGACAGGTGAGAGTGTCATTGTCTTCCACGGAGTGTGCAGGGCGGGGGCCGAGGGCTGGTGGGTTGGGGTAATCTCTGGGCTCTCTGCACAGGCTGGCCCTGTGGTCGGGGCCTGGCCATGGTGAGCGGGGCCGGGTGATGTGGCCGGGGCCAGGAGCTGCACGAGGAGGTGGATGGGGGCTGGCCCGGGGCCGGGGTCTGCTCAGGAAGGCTCACAGACGCGCCCCTGGCTGACTCTGGGGACTGGCTGACGCTGGAAGGGGCAGTCCCGCCAGGGCCAGCAGGGCCGGTGTCCAGCACCAGAACAAAGCAAAGGCGTGGAGATCACCGCGGGGAGGCAGGCGACCTCGGCCGCACAGGATCTGAAGAGCTGAAGCTCAACACGGAGAACTTCTAACGGGTAACAGGGGCCACTGAAGGCAGGGAGATCCCTGAGAGCGTGGGAGTGAGGGCTCAGCTGCCGGAGGAGGCGCTGCTCGGCCCTGGCGTGGCAGAAAGGTTCGCCGAGGTTGGGGCCGGAGGGCAGGGCACCCAAGGAATTCTCTGGAGAGCAGCCCGAGGGTGCTGCCAGCACCAGGTGAGCCCCACTGGGCATCCTGCTCGCTGGCCAAGCCCTGAGGCCTGCCGGACAGAGAAGGAAGAGGAGGATCTTGGACCCCACTGCAAGGCCTTGTCCCAGACCCTGAAGCGCCCTCTACTGACAAGGCTGACCTCACCAGCTGCAAAGGGGCCGACAGGGCCCAGCTCCAGCAGGGCAGCGCGGACTGCGAAGGGTGCACCTGGAACTGAGTGGCACTAAATCTGTAGGTGGTACAGAATCCAAAAGGCTCAGGGGCAGAAGGCTGGGTGAACAGATCACATGTGACCTGCAAGCCACCCACATGGTCACATATCACGTGTGACCTGCACTGCCCCCCACCATGGTCACATATCACGTGTGACCTGTGTTGTCTGCACATGGTCACATATCACGTGTGACCTGCACTGCCCTCCACCATGGTCACATATCACGTGTGACTTGCACTGCCTGCATAGGGTCACATATCACGTGTGACCTGCACTGTCCCCCACCATGGTCACATATCACGAGTGACCTGCACTGCCCCCCACGATGGTCACATATGACCTGCACCGCCCCCCACCATGGTCACATATCACGTGTGACCTGTGTTGCCTGCACATGGTCACATATCACGTGTGACCTGCAGTTTGCTCTTGTCCTCTTGCAGGCAAAGCGTGAGACATGTGTTTAGGCAGCTGGATTATTCTAAGGGAACCCTTTAGGCTGTAAACCTGCGTCTCTGCTGAAAGACTAGAGCTTTGAGAGGCAGCTCCCCCCGTCTGCGGCTTTGCTTTCTGTAAAGGATCCCTGGTCCCCATGTCACCACCTGTGTGAACCAGGGATTGGTGGGCAGCAGACCTGCAGAAAGCACTCATAGGACCCCTGGTCACACCCAGCACCCACTGTGCACCCGGCCCTTGTGTACCAACCACAGAAGAGGGATGAGGTTTGTCCCTCCCGTCCCTCCCTCCTGCTCCAGCAGATCCTTGAGGGAGCTCAGGCCAACCCACAGATGCCCCACAGACAGACAGAGTCACTAGGGACTGCTGAAGCTCTTTATGGAGAATCAGGAAGGTGGGGTGGATGAGGGGGAAGGGCAGTGGGGGGAGCCAGCTGGGCCCAGGTGGGCCACCCTCCATGTCCCCCAGGCCAGAGGTCCTGCTGGTGCCACCCGGGGATGCTGCAGAGCATGGTGTCCCTGCCCTGGGAACAAGAGGAGGTCAGTGAGCCCGGGGGGTGGGCCAAGGGAGGACTGCAGTAGTGGGGCTCCATCCGCGAGGCCAGAGCAGGTTGCCCAGAGCTTCTCTTCTGTGTGGGAGGAGGGACGGTGACTTCAGGCCATTGGAGGGCAGGGAAGGACAGGATGCTGTGTGGCTCTGGCTCCGCCCACACCTGGGCAGGGGACCTCGGGCAGTCTCTGACCTGTCAGCTCCCTACATCACACAGCACGAGGGACCAGGGATTCTGAAGTCCCCAGGCATGGCTGCCACACCTTCAAAGCAACTCATGGGGCACATGGTGTCACCACTGAGGGCCAGAGAGGTGCTGAGGGACTTCCCACCTTCTGGCAAGCACTCTGGGGGGTTGGGGGAGAGGGCCACGGTCTCCACCAGTGGCCCCACCCAGGAGCGGTCACCATGGCGGGTTCCCTCACTGCCCAGATGACATCCTAGAGAAACCTGAAGACAACACCCGAGGACTGGCCACGCCTGGGGCAGAGCACACCTGTCCAGCCAGGTGGTGGCTCTCCTGTCCACCTAGAAGCAGGGGTGGCGTCCCCTGAAGTCCCATCACTCCACCCCCAGGACTGGGAGGTCCTCCTAACCCCTGAAACTGGTCTCTTACCCTAATCACTCTCTGGAGAGCAGGCTTCTGTGGAAGAAAGAAAAACACGATTCAGAAGAGCCTGGGATTCCATCGGGACCCAGGGCCCCGCCCTCGGCCAGCACTTCCCACCACCCCTCAAAGGACAAAGCCAGGATCCATGCAGCTCGCTCTTGTAACCGTCCTTGGCTGGAGCTCCTGGGGCGGGGAGAGCCCTGCAGAGCCCTCTCCCTACCCCTTTGCTTGGGGATGAAGATGCTGTCTGCGTTGAGGCCTCTGGCTGCTGCGACCTGCTCAAACTCCTGCAGGGCATCTACGTTGACTTCAGGGTACCTGCCTGTAGGAGAGGCCAAGGGAGACAGGACTGTGGGGGCAGAGCTGGGAGCTGCTGGCATCTCCTTCCCAGCCTGGAGGACTGACCAGCGCAGTGCTGGGGAGGGAGACCTCAACGTGGAGGCTGGACCCAGAGGCCTGGGGCTGGGGCAGAGCCCAGATAGGAGAGGAGGACCAGGGGGTGTGAGCATCCACAGGGCGCCCAGGGCAGCCGACCCAGAAGGCCCAGAGCCGCTCTCCCTAAAGCCACCCAGCCTCTCCCGGGGCAGGACAGGGAGTGGCAGGACCAACTCTGCCCTGGAGGAGCGCCCCCAGGCTCAGGCACAGCCCTGCTGTCCACTGCTCTGTGTTCCCATGCACCTGGCTGTGGGGGAGCTGGGGGACGCCAGGCCTTGTCTTCAAGTCAGATTGGACTGACACCCAGTGTCTGCTCCGAGTTGGACTTCCCACGCAGGCTCCCCATCCACGTCCTTCCCTGACCCCTGCTGGACTCCCCACAGGTACCCACGGATGGCCCTGACAGGTTTCCCCAATGAGTCCTCGACTCATCCTGTGACATTCATGACACTGGTGGCCCTGCGCCCACAGCACCTCCTCCTTCCTGCGTTCCCATGCAGGGACGGGCCATCCCCAGTCCTGAGCTCTGAGGTGGGACTCGGGCTTCCTCTAGGAAACCCATCATCTGGACAAGGTTGCCAGGTCCTTGGATCCTGGTGGCTCCTCCTAGGGGAGGGGCAGGGGGCACAGGGAGAAAGGAGAGGGACCAAGGCTGGAGCCACCAGACACTGTGACTCACCCACAAGCTTTGCCATTCGGATCTGCTGCCCGTGCATGTCCCCCTCACAGTAGAGGATGTAGTGGTCCTCGTCCTGGGACTTAAGGACCTGCACCACATGCTTGCCCCCATCTGCAGAGGGACAGTGGAGGAGTTGGGGAGTGGCCCTGATCCTCCACTGAAGACCAGGATGGCTGACTCCAGCCCACAACACCCCTCAGTAACTCCCCCTCTCCCCTCCCAGGCTCCCTGACCTGGGTCCCCACCTAGCCTGGCCCCAGGCCTTGGGGCCACTTCCCAGGAACCCAACGCACCCAAGAGATGGCACATGTCAAGCTGGTGAGTCACAGGGAGGTCTGGGGCATGAGACTGGCAGAGGTTGGAGCTGGGGTAGCACAATCCACCCTCAACCCCAGCCAAGTACAGTCCTGGCCCTGACCAATGCCAGGGGTCAGCTGTGGCCAAAGAGGGAGCCCTGGGCAGAGACCCCCAGGCCTCATCCACCAGCCTCAGCAACACTGGGGTCGGGAGTTTGACTCTGTGGGGTGGAGGCTGGGTATGTAGTAGGGCCAGAAAGGAGAGCCTCAGGCCAAAGGCCACCCTGAGAAGCTGCCGGCTGGCCCCATGTGCCCATGGGTGGCCGGAGCTGCCCTGAACGGGCCCCAGCACTCACGGGCTGTGTATCTGCCCGGCTCGGCGGTCTTCTCTAGCACAGTGCTGATCTCGCGACACTGGCCTCCGATCCTGGAGGACAGAAGCTCCGTGGGCAAGGCCGCCCTGCTCAGGGCAGTCACGGGGCCTGGCCTGGCAGGAGGGCCGCAGACAGGCCCAGGAGCAGCAGGCCTCTCCACACAGGAAGTGAGGTGTGTTCACAGACGCTGAGCACCCTGAACTGGTCCAGGCACCAGTGGCCCTCTGTGTCCAACGAAGAGCCTTTGGGCCCACAGTGGCCAGAACTCTGTGTCCTCCGACCCCCTCACTGGCTGCCAGGGGATATCAGGCTGCCTGGGAGGAACCCCCTGGCAGAGTCGCCATAAGGCTCCAAGTGCTGGGTGCTGAGGGCCGAGTAGGCCCCCGGCATGGTGTGCACCCCACCCAGCCCTGCTGTCCTCCGTGGAAAGGGAGGACCATGCGGCCCGCAGATACTCACAGGACGGTGAAGGTGACTTCCAGGTGGCCCCCTGCCAGGGTCTTGATGGTCATGGGGGTCACAGACACAGACTCCAGCTTCTTCCAGGGAATCTCCTTGTCTGCTGCTGTGGCCTTCAGGTACCACGTGCCTGACGCCTGCAGAAGGCACCTGACCATCAGGGCTCAGGCCCACCTCCAGGGCCTCCCCTCCTCAGCTACCCTGGACTCTATGCTCCAAGGACCGGGGACCTGGAGCATCCTCTGCCCCTACCCCACCCGAGCTCACCCCCACTCCCACCAGGCCCCCGAGAGCCGGATCCCAGCTCCCACAGCTTGGCCAGGACCCAGGCGCTGGCTCCCAGGGCAGATGTGTCCCCTGCTTCCACCAGCCCTCTGCAGCCCCATCTGGCCCAGACCCCCCTGCGCCGTGTGATGTCTCCTTGGGGCAGGGGTTCAAGGCCTGGTGTCGATACGAGGGTCTCCTTCATGCGGGAGGGATGGGGTCTGCACCCAGCCATCTTGGCCCTCCCTGCCCCCGCAGCCCTCCGCCCATCTGAGCCTCACATCCTGGGTCTCCTCATCCCCGACTGGGAGCGTCTGGGCCCGCAGGGCAGCGAGGAGGCTGAGGCCCAGGGTCAGGAGCAGGGTCTTCATGCCGGGGTCTGTGCTCGCGGCTGCTGGGCGCGGGCTCTCTGGGCTGGAGTGGCTGTGCTGCTTCCTCACTCCCCGCCCTTTATACTGCTCGGGGCAGGCCCCCGGGGAACTTGGCACAGAGCACCCACCAGTCCTTTCCTGGCCACTGAGCGTGGCTGCTCTGCAGTGGAGCAGATGAAATGTCACTATTGTTGGAAGTTGCTGAGTAACAGTGTGTCCGTTCCCCAGGGCATCATCAGGACAGGGCCGCTGTCCAGGGGAGCCACTCGCACATTTCACCTGGCAGGAAATGAGCCGGATGGAGGGTGCAGCCCCCGTGTACAGAGCCCCGAGGGTGTGTGCGGTGGCAGCAGAACCCTGGGGCCCTCCCCTCATGGCATTCCCTGGCTGACACAGGGGGGACTCAGTGAGCCCTGGGCTCTGGTCTTGGTGACCTTCCCGCATCCACGACAGGTCACTTCACCTCAGATTCATCTTGCAAAAGGAGGGACCTTGGCCAGGCACAGTGGCCACCCCTGTAATCTCAGCTCCTGGGGAGGCTGAGGCAGGAGGCTGTCACCTTCAAGACCAGCCGAGGCAACTTAGCCAGACCCTGTCTCCAAAGAAAGAAAGGAGAAGGGCTGGTGATGTAGCCCAGTGGTAGAGCCCCTGGGTTCAGCCCTCAACCCTGAAGAGGAGCAAACCAAGCGGGACCTGCAGTGTGGACAGGAAGTCAGTGTGTTCACAGAAGCTGAGATCCCTGAGCACTGTGTGCACCAGGACCCGCTCCACGTCAGAACAGCCGTGGGTCAGACACACGCAGGCACAGCCACAGACCCAGGTCACAGTGGCAAGGACAGCACCAAGTCGGTCCTACAGGGTGATGTGACGCACACTCGGGGATCACGGAACAGCTGCGGAGGCCCGAGGAGTGGAGCCAGAGAAGGCCGGTGCTCCCTGGCCAGCTTCTGCCATCGACAGTGGGGTTTGGTTTGTCCTAGAGCTGAACCCTCGGGTCAGTGTCCAGGAGAGAGTCCAGGAACAGCCGCCACACCTGACCAGTGCTGAGGGGACCAGGCGCCCAGAGGTCCTCATCCGTGAGCTCCCTAGGGGGCAAACATGAGGACGCCCCTGGAACCCACGCTCTGCAGAACCTTCTGACCCCCAAATCTTCCTGCCTCCCGCCCACGCACGAGCACGCAGCCGGCAGTCCTAGGTGATGGGTGGTTCTGCAGAACTGGCCATCGTGTCTCTTTCCACGGTGTGGGCAGGGCTGTGGGGACACGGGGGGGTAGAAGGGGGACCACAGAGTGCAGCACCCATGGAGGTAAGCAGGTGGGCAGGAAGGAGAGGCCACAGGAGCTTCAGGGTGGACATCCAGGGCTCTTGCCCGTGTCCATCCCGCCACCTCCCAGGCGAGCCAGGCAAGGGGCCAAGTGGAGCTGGGCGTGAGCACAGCCCTCTGCCAACCCGGGGCTCGTTTTCCAAGGTCCACCGAGGTTCCAGCTTCACCGTCCAGTCGGTGTCCTGTCCCCACTGAGCGTCCTGTTTCCCGAGTGACCGCAGAGGGCTCCAGGAGCGGCCTGGGTTGGTGCAGTTAGGCCTGCCGGGCCCAGCTGGTCTCTCCATTATGCTCCCCTCCTCTGGGGCCCTCCAGAGCCCAGCACAGTCGCCTCCCAGGCCAGGAAGGGGGGAGCCAGCTTGACGCACAGCGTGGGGCGAGCACAGAGCCCCACGTGGTGCTGGGGGCAGCTGTGCCTTGGACAAGGGAAGGAGTGATACGGTGTCACCATCCAGCCTAGAGGGGCCTCTTGGGTCTGGCCTGTCACATCTGTCTGGCATGTCCCTATCACTGGTCCTGCTGCCTCCCTGTGGAGCGACAGCCATGTGGACAGCTCAGGTCTGGCGTCCCCACCACCGGGCTCCTCGTCCACCCAGGCCTGGGCTGGCAAAGCTGGCTGGACGGATGTACCCAGGAGTCACAGGAGGCTGAGGGGAGCGGACCTGCCTTGGCCACGAGAGCCCGGGTGCACCTGGAGGCCGGACGCCCTTGTGTGCAGAGGGGCTGCGTCCGGGGCACGGCTGTGTTTGCACTCAGGCTCTCTCTTCTCCGTTCCCTCCAAGGCCCTGGCCTATCCGAACAGCGATGCTTTGAGTGAGAGCTGACCTGTGTGGCCGTCACACAGGCAGGAACGTGCCTGCAGGCTCCTGGCCCAGTGTCCTCCCGAGCCGGCCGCCAGGTTGCTGCATGTGGAAGTGGCCTCTGGGGAAGCTTTGCCAGCCTCACCTCCAGGCCACGAGGCATCCCCACGGGCTCCTGCACACCCCCGGTCCAGAGGGCTGGTCCCCCGAGGGGAGGGGTCGGCGTCTGGTGGGCTCAGAGTGGGCAGGCAGAGAAGAGCCAGGCACAGCACCTCTGAGAACCACAGCAGCGGCTCTCTGGGGAAGAGCCCCTCGGAGGACCCCGAGCAGAGACAGGAAGCGCCCAGGTCCTGCGTGACCTCACAGCCTGCCCGACCCTGCACTCCAGCCCGGACCGCTGCACGGCCAGCTTGACTGCAGCGCGGGGAGAGCACAGAGCCCCTGTGGTGCTGGGGCGCCGTCTGTGGACAAGGGACGGAGCCATGCGGGTGTCTCTGGGCAGGGAGAAGCCAGGGGAGATGTGGGGCTCGGAGGGCCCCCCCGCCAGCCTCCGAGGCAGCGCCACTGCTGATTTCCAGCCAGGAGGAACAGGGACCTGGAAGGGCAACAGGATGTGTCCTGAAAACTGTAGCAACTGACCTTTCAAACACCACGGACAGAGCGCGCTTATCTCGCCCGCGTGAGTCCTCGCCCCCAAACAATTGTGTGGCGCTCTGGACCCGTGAAGGCCCGGCCTCGGGATCTGCGTCACGCTGGCTCTGGCCAGCTGGGCCCTTCTCAGGGAAGTGGGGCTCAGGCAGCTCCCGGCTCTCTGTACCCTGCAGGGCCACGTGCCTGTCTGTCCCGCGGGCTGGGCCCTCTGTGGGCAGGTGAGCAGCTGCTGGCTCAGAGCCCCCAGCACTGGCTGCCAGACAGGGGCCAGGCCACCCAGGGACTTCCGGGGGCAGCTCAAGGCCACCACCCTCCCTCCTGCAGGCCCCAGGGACCGGCTCCTTGCTCTCCTTGTGTTTTGCCTGGGGAAGGGCAGACGACACCTGAGGAGAAAGTGCCCCAGAACTGGAAGCTCAGCTGTGACCCCAGTGCAGCACTTGGGCTTGAACTCGGCTCAGCCCAGCAGCGGCCATTCTTCAGACCAGGCTGCCTTCGTTCTGGGCTATTTTCAAGTTCTCTCTTCTTCCTCTGCCTCTCTCAGGAGCAGACTCACTCCTGGGGCCCTCTGGTCACCTCCTCTGAGCAGTTCTGCTCCCATACGATGGCCCCCGTCACGCCCGTCCACCTCCAGCGGATCCGTCTGTGGCCCGAGTCCCTTTGCAGGGCTGTGCACCATCCGCCCAGTCCAGCTTCAGAACACTACCCCCATCCCTGAGCCCATCAGCACTCGGTTCCCAGTCCCACCCCAGCTGGAACCACGGATCTACTTGCCACCCCTACAGAATTCCTGTTCTGCACATTTCACGTGCACGGGATCGTGCAGTGTGTGGCTTGCTGACTGGCTTCCTTCCACGCCTGCGGGGTCTCCAGGCTCGTCTGAGGTTCCGCCACATCCATTGTCATCTCGTCTCAGTTGACAGACACCTAGGTTATTGCCACTTTGGGGCCAATGTGAATACACTGCTGTGAACACTGGTGTCCAGTGTCATGTGGACACACGCTTGCCGCCATCTTGGAGACTGCCTAGGCGTGGACTTGCTGGATCATGTAGTGGCTCTATGGTGACATGCTTAGAGAACTGCCAGAGTGGTTTTCACTCTACTTCCACTCCCTCCAGCAAATGTGAGGCTCTCAGTGTCCACATCCTGGACAGCACTGCTGCTGCCCACTGTTTCCACCCGTATGAATGTTTTGATCCATTTGTCAAAGTTTGGGCTGGGGTTGTGGCTCAGTGGTGCGAGGCCCTGGGTTCGAGCCTCAGCACCACATAAATATAAAAAAATAAAGGTATTGTGTCCGACTACAACTAAAAGATAAATATTAAAAAAAATTGTAAAAAGAAAAACTTAACTAGGGGATTCTCCTAGCACTGAGTTGAAACAATGTTGCCCATCTGCGGTGTTACTCTGGAGCAAGAGGAATTCTTGGTGCTGCCATCTCTGCTAACCCCAGGACACACCCGTCCGTGTTGCAAAGTGGACCTGAGCCCCATGGGGCACTCCCGGAGGGTGAGGATGACTGGGAGCCACAGTGAGGGCACAGGCAGGGGCCATTGAATATCTGCTGAACGTGTGAGTGGGTGGATGACCGCGAGGATGGATGGGGACGGGCGGAGGGGCAGGCCCCTGAGGAACGGGTGAGGGAGTGGAGCCCCAGGATCCCAGCACAGGCTGAGCTGTCATGCAAGGTGCTGTTGTCCTGGGCCTTCCTCGCTCCTCAGATTACGCTGAAATCTCCTGGGACCTGGCAGCAGGAGGGGCCACCTGAGGAGGGATGGTGGCAAGTGGTTCTATTTTGGGGGCAGCAAGAGTCATTTCTTAGGCTCCCTCTCCTGCTCCAGGAAATCAGGCTGAGATGCCACCAGCTGCCCGGTGCACAGGCCCCAGGGGCAAGATCCCATTGTCACAGACAGAAGAGCACTGCAACCTGCCACAGGGAGCCTGATAAGGACACAGAAAGAGCTGCGAGGCAGATCCTACCCACCCAGCCTCAGTGGAGGCCACAGCCCCAGCCTCCTGGGAGCTAGCCTGGATCCAGGTGCCCAGAGACTGACATCAACTGTGTGTAGCTGTGGCGGTGGTGGGGAGTACAGTCACACAGCCAGTGACAACTAGTGCAGCCCCGGGCTCAGGGTCTCCCTGCTCTGCCCCTGCTGTCAGCCCAGGCCCACTCACAGATAGTTCTTCCTGATACTGTCAAGCATCTGCAGAAGGAACGTGCCCAGGTGGGGATCACTGGGAATGCCAAGCCAGGCCCAGGGCCCTGCCCCGAAGCCTTCTCAGCCTGACCCCATCTGCCTCTGGTCATCTCCCAGGTTGGCATGTGGCAGATCCCCAAGGTTATGTGACCCCTGAACACTCCCTCCACACCTAAGAACTCTGCCAGGTCCTGGGTCTGGGGGCTCCAGCTCCTTCCCCACAATGCCAGCTGGTTGGTCTTGGTTCTGCCTGGGTCCGGAAGAGGCCACATCTAATGGGGCATTTCAGGCTCAGGGAGAGGGCTGGGGGAGTCACTGTCCCCTCAGCCCCTCCCTCACCCAGGCCCTCTGGAGCCCCATTGGCTCCCATCACCTGAGGGCAGCGCCTGGGCTCTTCCTGAGCAGCCCCACCATCACAGCTGCTGTCCTCAACACCCACCTCAAGTGGCTGGGCTCAGTGGTGTCAGCTGTCCACTGAGTGTCCCCTTCTGCTGGGGCCACCCTGTCCACCCTGTTCCTGGTATCCCCAGACCTGGAAACACAGCAGCTCCCAGCACAAGCTCCTGCCTGTCCTCATAGGCCCGGGTCCAGTAGAGACCTGCGCTCCGAGTCACGTTCTGCTCAAACATAACTTTATTTTTGCTGCCAGCTGCTATGCTCAGCCTGTCCCAGGCAGAACTTCCCAGGGACTTGTGCCACATCACAGTGCAAAATGGCCCCTGAAGCCAGGCTGCCAGGGAAAGCAGCCCACCAGGGGGATTCTGATTGAGAACTGAACTGGTATCTGAACCTTCCTGACACCCCGTGTCAAGGTGGAAGCCAGGACTTCTCAGGGGCCAGGGAGAACCTGGTTTTCCAGCAGTCAAGGTATCAGCTTCAGGTCCTAACCAGGCCACTGGGGACATGCGGTTTGCCCTGCATGTCTGCCCCACGAAGATGCAGCCAAGTCTCAGCCCGGGGATGGTTGGGGCTATTGAGTGCTGTTACTAACAAGAGCCTAGGACGGAGAATGCAAGGGACTTCCAGCTCAGACCAGGTCTCATGGTAACTTGGGACGAGGATCGTGGCCTGTCACAGGGAATGGCTCACATCCACTCTGGGAGGAGAGTCAGCTGCCCCGTGGCCCTCTGCCCGCTTGGGGCTCTGCAATCGATGCAGGGCCTCTACCTGCCGCCGTTTCTCCTTGGCCCGGGTAATGACGGTGCGGAAGAGCCTGCAGAAGAGCTGGACAGACGGTGGGGAGTCGTCGTTGCCAGGCACGGGGTAGGTGATAAGGCAGGGGTTGCAGTTGGTGTCGACAACACCGACTGTGGGGATGTTCATCTTGGCTGCGTCCCTTACAGCCACGTGGGGCTCGAAGACGTTGTTGAGTGTGTGCAGGAAGATGATGAGGTCAGGCAGGCGGACCGTGGGGCCGAAGAGGAGCGGGGCATTGGTCAGCAGGCCACCCTTGAAGTAGCGGGTGTGGGCATACTCGCCGCAGTCCCGGGCTGTGTTCTCGATCAGGTGTGTGAACTGCCGGTTGCGGCTCACGAACAGAATGATGCCCTTTCGGTAGGCCACGTGGGCAGTAAAATTCAAGGCTAGCTGGAGGTGCGAAGCTGTCTGTTCCAGGTCGATGATGTCCTGGTCCAGGCGGCTCCCGAAGATGTAGGGCTCCATAAACCTGCCACAGACCCCATCAATGGTCAAAGGTCAACCCTGCGCTCCTGCCTGGGCACCTGGGCTGGGAGGCACAAACCGCATCTACTTCCCTTGTGGAACTCTGTCCAATGATTGACAGGTCGGGGCTCAGGGCTGCAGAGGCCCCTCAGGAGCCTCGGCATGTTACTACCAATCCCACCCTCCGCCTCTTTCCACACGGAGCTGGGTAGGATGGACCCAAGTGAAGGTTTGGATGTTCTATAGTCAAACATCTGACCAGTTCCTGCTCATCTCCACAGCCTTGGAGGCCCTGCTCCATCCAACACTGGCTGGAGGCCCTTAACCTCCCTGGCCTACCTTGGAACCTGAGAGCCTTCACCAGCCAGCAGGACTGACCCAAGGTTGCAGGCTCCCTCCAAGACACACAGGAAAGTTTAAGTGCCCTCAGGGGGCTTGGGGAATCCCACCAGTAGCAGCCAGGCCCCAGTCCAGGTCAGGATGGCCCTGGGCCCTCCTGGGAACCACCGACACCCTGGCCAGGCGCTTCAGCTACCTGTGCCGACAGCCAGCTTTGTGTCCCAGGTGCACGCGGGCATCGAAGAGGCTTTTCACTGAAAACAGCTCCTTGACGTTGAAGAAGTCAGAGTGTCTGAGGGGCTCCTCCAGGATCTTGCGGTGGGTCTCTAGGGCAGGGAGGGCAGGAAGCTGTGGTTTCCCACTGAGGATTGAACTCAGCAACCAGGGTTCCCTGAGTGGAGGCCACAGGGCTGGGGGGTTCTGGGAGAAGCCCAGCAGCCAAGATGCACCAAGCCCCAGGAGAGACCCCAGGAAGCCATAGTGGCCTTCACAGCAAACAGAGCTGGACCCAGGTTCTGAAGGAGACCCAGCTTGTGGGTAAGCCGGGTCACTACCATCCCGTGTCTGGGGTCCCTGTGGCCCTCCCAGCCACCAGACCTGGCAGACAGACTCAGGTCCGTCGCCAGAAATTCCCCTGCATGAGCCCAGCAAGGCGGACGGCCTGGTGCCCAGGGGTCCCCGGGCCACGTGACCAGCGCAGGCTCCGAGCCTCAGGCCGCTCCCTCCGTCCGGCCAGCGGTGGTCGCGCGCGGCTGCAGGAGCGGCTGGAGCCAGCGCGAGCCGCAGGGCGCCACGCCTCCGCGCCTCCCGCCGCCCTCCGGGGCTCGTTACCGCTGTCCTCGGGCTCGCTGGCCGCGGGGGCCGGGATGCCCGCGAGCGTCCTGCCGGGGCCGGCCGTCTGCAGCCATCCGGGCCAGCGCCTGCCGGGCCGCGCACCTGCGGAGAGAGAGCCTGCTGACGCGGCGCCCTCAAGCCCCAAGCCCGGTCCCCGCCGGGCGCGGCCACTCACCCGCGCGGAGCAATCGGGGCAGCGCGGACGCCATGGCGGCGAGCTCGTGGGCGGACGAGCGGACGGGCGGACGGCGCGCCTCCCTCGCCGCGCGGGGCCGCAGCGCCACCTGGAGGCCGGGAGGACCCGCCACCGCCCGCCCGCAGACAGACCTCTGGGAGGCGCGCTGCCCCGAGTCCCAGCGGAGGCCGAGTCTGCGCGGGCGTGCTTGGCGGGGTGGGGAGCAGGGTGGCGTGGGGGTTCCTGCGCCCCCACCCCTGTGGATAAGGCGTAGGGAACCGGTCCCTGGCCCTGCTGCTCGACCCCTCCCTGCAAAAGTGCAGGGCAGAGGACTGGGGTGCAGCTCAGTGGAAGAACTTGCCTAGCGTGCATAAGCACGGGGTTCACCCTCAAAAAAAAAAAAAAGGTAACAGTGCAGGCCGATGAGGCCCACATCTCTCGTGGGACCCTTTGGGCGATGCGGACCCTCAACCTCTGCTCCAAGTCCAGAGCAACCTCTTGTTCTCCAAGATCGTGTTTAATATTTAAACAATATGTGATTCTGTGAACTTAGAAAAGTCTTGGGTCTAAGTTTGGGTAGTTGGGGCGCGGGCTCACCGGATTACCCGGGTCAAGGAGCACCCCTGGTGTGTACAGTAAGCACCAAATTGTTGCTTGCCACGTGAGCGTTCAGCACTCAGACCCCATCAATTTGCTGGTGAAGTCCCAGGGCCTGTGGTTTCATCCAAAGCGCTTGCTGCTGCATTTGGGGAGAATACCGCGATGCTCCGGAGAGTCCCAGGAAGACACCCAGAGCCCTGCCCCCGCAGCGGGCTGAAGGCTTAGGGCGTCTCTGAGGACGGTCCGAGCGGGATTCCTCTCCGTCGTGGATCCGTCCGGTCCTCGATCATTCGCCCAGGGAACGTTCTAGACCTGCCTGCCCAGGGGCCATGGCTCTTCCTGCGGCGCTTTTAAGAACTGGACGTCCGGGTCAGGTGACACCGTCGCCTAGCAACAGGACGCTGCACCCGCAGCCTGGGCTTCTCCTGCCCAAAGCCGGTTTCTGCTAGAGGCCAAATGTCGGAGTGCGCAGAGCCCGCTGAGCCGAAGGCCGCGACGCCCCCGGAGAAGACCAGCGACTACTATCGCGTGAGCCCCCACCTGCCGGTCAGGTTCAACAACCCGGGGTGGTTTCGCGGCTACGGGTAAGGAAGCAGGGCTGGTCCGGGTCCTCCGTACAGGCACAGGGAGAGGCCCTGCCTCGGATGCACGTGCGGTGCCACAGCTGGTTCTGGGGCTGCGCTCAGGTAGTCCTGGATGAGAAACCCCCTCCCCAAAGACCCTCAACTTCCTGCTACGGAAGTCAAAAGGAGCCTGAGCTCGGCCTGAGCCTGCTATCATTACCAGCAGTGAGCTCCTCAAACTCCCCAACCACCGGTCAGTACGGTGGGGGGTTGTGGGGGATTGTGGAGACCCTGTGGAAAGAAAAAACTCATTCTGGTTCCAGTTCCACAGTCTTGTGCCCCGGGGTCTCCTCTCCTCCCCTCCTGCAACTGTAAGATGTCAGCTCTGCTGTGGGGACTGTCCCGGGGCCCTGAGGCTCAAGGACATAACTGGAATCTGAATTGCTGCAGGGGAGGTGAGGCACCCTCTGCCCCCACAGTTTCCTGTGCCCCATTCTCGGTGGAGACCACTGCCACCTAGAGACAACTCTCCCAGGCCTCTAGTGTGGAGTTCACTGCAGCCTACAGTAGGCAGGTGGTGTTCCCTGGCCACGTTCCTTCTTCTGCACCTGGGCATCTTGAGAGTGGACCTGCAGCCAGGGACCCCCGGGAGGCAGGGTCTGATGCTGACCTGTGGCTCCCAGCAGGGTAACGAACCTACCCAACCAGTAACAGTTCTACCAAGGTCTACCAGGGTTGAGGACTGGCACTTGCTGGTGGAGTGCTCTTTAGGAGTTGGAAGGAGTAGGGATTGTGGCCAGCAGAGGAGGTCAGAGAGGCAGGCCTATCAGGGCTTCAGCCCTGTGTGTGATGGGGGCCAGTGTTCATGCTGTGTTACTGGCCGGGGCACACTGCTCTCCTTGGGGGCATTGCCAACAAAGCTCTATCAGGCAAATCCTGTAGGGCTGTGGCGTGGGCAGACTTTGAATGAACCAGGGGAACCATATCTGCTCTGCAGGGCCAAGGAGGTGGTCTCCCTGTACAGGACCAGTAACCAGGCTTACGGGAGCAGAGCACCCACTGTGCATGAGATGCCGGTAAGTGGGAAGCAAGTGGCATTTGGGGATGTGTCTATAAGAGGACCAGCCTTCGAAAAGGCAGCACATCGTGAGGGTGAGGGGTAGAGGTGGGGGACCCCGAGGCATCTCAGACCATGTTGGAGCAGGGAGGAATAGAAAGAGGTGAGTGGATGGACTCACGAGAAAAATGTCTTCAAAAACGGGAGGAGTGCAGGGTGTGCTTCTTCATTGTCCTTGTCCCTGTGGATAAAACCACGCCTGCAGGTGCCATCACAGGTGCACACAGCCATTTCCCCTAGGCGGTCAGTTCTGAGGCAGGTGGCTGAAGAACTCCTTTCTCTCTGGTCTTAAACCTTGTGTGAAGCCCTCACCTGTGACCGAGAGGCAGCACTGGCCAAGAGCCGTGGCTGCAGGAACTGGGTGCGTGGGCAGGCACAGGGTGGTGCCTCTCTGGGAACTGCCAGCCGGGCCTGTGTAGCACCCTGCATCCCCAGGTCACCAGGGCCACTGTTTGGGGTGAGAATGTCATGGGGCCCCATCCCCATGGTGTTAGAAGGCCTGGGAGTCACTGCTTTAGTGGCGGTGTGAGTAACAGAACTCTTGGGAGAATATCATCTGCCAAAAAGGTTTCTGGGACACTTAGGAGTCACCCTCCCAGAATCAAGGACTCTGATGTTCCCCTGGGGCTCAGTCATTTTGATGAAAAAGAGACACATTCAAGGGGGTCCAGATGTTTCAACTTAAAAAAAAATGCTATTTAAAAAAATGCTCCTCTGGTAAATTGTGTGAGTTCTGCGTCTACCGGTGCCACCCGGCCACGGGTTATGGAGCACCAGGGGATCAGAGACAAGTTTCTGCTTTTTGTGGTGCTGGGGATCCAACCCAGGGCCTTGGGCATGCAAGGCAAGGACTCTACCAGCTGGGCTGTGTCCCAGCCCCCAGGGTGAGTTTTGAGGGAGGTCTTCCCACTTCTCCACACCTTCTTGACAAAATGTGGAGGCTGGACTCCTTGAGCAGCTGGTGTTCACCTTCCTTGTCGGGGCAGAAATGAAGGTGCTTCCATCTTTCTAAACTGCAGGGAAGGTATTTATTGTGACAGGGATGGTGGATACGTGTGTCACACCCACAGAAGGGTCTGGAGAGGGAGCCTGAGGTACACTGCGGACTTTGGTTGATGACAAAGTATCAATTCTGGCTCACTCTACAGATGTGCCACATTGAGATCCTGTTCCCAGGTTAGCTGTGCTTTGCCGTGGCCAACATGACCTGCAGGACAACTTAGAGGAACAAAAGTTGATTTTAGCTCATGGTTTCAGAGGTTCGGTCCATGGTTGGCCAGCTCCATGGCTCTGGGCCTGAGACAGAAAATCATGGTGGAAGGAAGTGCCAAAGGAGAGCTGGTCGGCTCACGGCAGCCGGGAAGCAGAGAGGAGCCAGGAGAAAACACAGTTCCTAGGGACCCACCCCAGCGACCTATTTCCTGTCACCTCACCCCATTCCCACCTGGAAGTGCATTCAATCTATGAATCCATGGAATGGATTAATCCACTAGGTCACAGCTCTCATGATCCCAGAATGTCACCGTGGAACATCCCTGCATTGTCTAACGTGAACTTTTGGGGGAACCTTGTGTCCAACTCATAGCAAGGGGGAACTGTGTGTACTGGTGGGAGGCAATTTGGCAGCTCCCTGTAGTTTCAGCTCAGCTTTCTGGAGATCTAAATCTTCTCTTTTAAAGTCTTTTAAAAATGTACAGAAGCTTCTTGCACTTGCTTCCTGCCAAGGAGTCAAAACATGGACGGTGAAGGATGGTCACCTATCTAGGGTATGACACCGAGTGGAGAGGTCTCAGGGCCACCGGATGATGCCATCCTGCCCCTGGGCAAGAGCTCAGTGCACCGTGGCCTTGGTGGGCGCCCCTCCCACCTGGTGGTTGGGGGTGTGGGCACTGGACAGTTTTAGAGCTCTGCAGATGGTTTTGATTCAGTTTGTGTGAATTCCCCAGAATCCATGTGTTAAAGGATGGTCGCAGGTGCACTGCTGGAGAGGGCAGAACCGTCAGGAGGTGGGGCCCTACCGGAGACCTTCAGATCCCTGGAGGGGGGCCTCTGAAAATGGTCCCCTCTCCTGCTTCCTGGCTCCTGATGTGAGCAGCTTGTTCCGCCCATGCTCCTGACCATCAACATCCTGCACCCCCACCAGAGGCCCAAAGCAATGGGTCTGCCTCGTCATGGACTGGAATTCCAGAAAAGTGAGCTGGAATAATCCTTTTCTCTTTCTAAGTTAATCATCTCATGTATTTTGTTAGTACATCACAAAACCGACCAATACACCTACTGACAGACATTATTTTATTCCACAGAACACTGAGGCTCAGAGAGGCCCAGTAACTTGTGCAGCACAGCACAGTTGGGCAAAGCTGACCCGAGGGCCAATCCAGACTTTTTAATGCTCATAGTCACACACAGGTGTGAAAATACCTCAGTGAGGTGGCCCCATATCTTATTCTTCCTTCTAGGTGATGGTGAAAGAAATCTCAGATAACAAGTGCCCCAGACACCAGGCATAAATCACGGGGCTCAGAGCCCCACCTTGGCCTCTCAGCTTCTGAGGGATGGAGATGGCATTTTTCTTTCAAATTCTTCTTCCAGAATTACCTGCCTGCCTGCTCTGGAGGACAACTGGGGGCATTAATCCTCACGTTCTCTTCTCTCTCCCAGAAGGTATTTTATCCATGTTCCACTAAGTTCTCCAGACACATTTTAGCGAGTGAGAAGTTCCAGCACAGTGCTTTCAACGTCTGCATGGAGAAGAGCCTGGTGACGGGCCCCGACAACTACATCACCCACTGCGACCGGCTCAACTTCCACCCCAGTTACAATGTTAGGAAGCCGTCCATCTGTGACTGAGGGGGCCCAATGCCCCTGCCTTCCCATCTGGCCGCTGCCCCCTGGAGCATGGTGCTCCCTGATCTTTGACAGTTTGCCCAACTATGAAGGTGCAGATTTCACTGTTTTCTCTGAAAATATTTTTCCTTTCTGGAATAGAAAAATGTGCAATAGGCTTGGTGCTGTTTTTTTCTATTTTACGTCTAAACACACACAGAAAAACTGTATGTCTTGGCTTCCCATGAAAATGCTGCCCCGGCCTGTTTCCAACTCTTCTGACGTCTGTGATGAAGGTGCAGGCTGCGGGTGTCCTGGGGCCCTATCTGTCTTGAAGGCTGGGAAGGCTTGGGCAGCCCACTGGTGTCTTCTGGGGCGGGGCAGCAGGGGGCACCATTACACACATTACCAGCTGGGCCCCCACGGCATGGCCCTGGGGAGCGTGGGCTGGCCCTCCCTGGGTGTGGCGTAGACGGGACCAGGGCTCAAGAAGAGCAGCACCTCTTTAGCAGAGCTCAAGAGGGTATCACTGGGATCTGTTCAAGGTGAACATCCTGAAGCCATAAATCAGGACCAGGGTGGGCCACCCTCAGTCTTTGGGTGACAGGGTTCTCTGTATTCATTTAAAAATTTCAATAAAAAGTGAAGGCAGTTGGGGAATAACCAGTATTTTCCTTAGGTAGGGGAAATAACTACATTAATCTTTATAACTCTGTAGTCCCAAATCAGTGTTTACCATGGCCATAAGGTCTGCAATAAGAAAAACATTTGTTTTTTCTTTCTGCAACAGGATAGGTCTTTCACACATAGTTTTACTTCCTTCGTAAGAGTAAGGTGTGCTCATGACAGGGAATTTGGAAAATACGGGATCTAAAGACAACGACACTGTCACATGCCATCCATAATAGCTTCTTCACAGCACCGTTTGCCCACAGAGATTCTCTTCCTTTGTAAGTAAGGAAGAAACTGAACCTTACAGCTGGCTGTTTCTTCAGAATGAACTTATCATTATTAAAACACAAAAGGGAGCATCCGGCAGCATCTGAACGTCCAGTAGGGAATGGAAGTGGTTTCCAGGGAAAATCAATGTGGTCAGTAGAAAAGACAGGCAGCCGTGCCTGAAGCCGGGTCTGAGCTGGAAAACCCACAGTTCAGTGTCAAACCGAAAGTATGTTTTACAGTCCTTAAAAATGCCCCAATGCCAAGAACCCTTCTGAGTTTGGCCTCCACTGAAGTAAAAAGGTGAGGCTGCTCGGCCTCGCCAGCCAGGTTTCTAACTTGTTGGCAGGGACCGAACCCGGCTTCCTGGCGATTCCAAGGAGCAGGCTGGCAAGTCCAGGTGCCGTGAAGCTTTGGGAGCACCCGCCTGCTGCCACAGCACAGCTGTCCAGGAAAACAGGCCGCTGGGGAAGCCACACCCCCGATTCCAGGCTGAGGGCAACGTGGGGGCCTGGGCTGGGGTTAGGAGTCTGCGAATGATGTGTGGTCGTCCAGGTCTGAGCTCACCTGCAAGCTTCATGGATTTGACTGTGGCATCACAGCTGGGCACAGAAATGCTTCACAGGCTGTGCCCAATGAGTGTGGCTTGTTAACAGCTGCTGTATGAACGCAAAGTTGGACTCCACACATTATTCTAAATAACTGCCTGAAAAGAATAAAGCCCCAGATAATTCCAATCTAACTCACATTTTGTCTTAGTCTGTTTTCTGTTGCTTTAACAAAATGCCTGATTCTGGGAGACTTATAAAGAATAGAGGTTTACTTGACTCATAGTTTTAGAGGTTTATGTCCAGTGTGTGAAAACAAGTGAGCCTGTGGGAACAGAATCACTGTCACCTGATTCTGAGGGGCCTGAGTGGTTGCTGAAGGCGTAAACAGGAGGTTAGGAGGCGAGTTCCATCATCTCAGGAGCAACACGGGAGCCCACACGAGGAGCCAGAGGACGCCTGCACAGCTCACCCACGCTCCTCCATCGTCAGGGCCATCTACCAGCATGCAGACAAGCCACTCCCCCTGGTGACCACAAAGCCTGGCCCCAGAGGCAGCAGGGAGCAGCTGAGCAGGAGGCCTGAGTATGGCAGCAGGAGTGACCATGGAGGATGGGGTTCTGGAGCGTGCTCCCCAGCACATGCGTGGCCTGCTGCGCCGAGCACCAGTGTGCCTGGCCTGTCACCGGAGGCAATGCCACACCTGCACGGGCCTGTACCTGTGTCTACTCAGGTACACGCGCCTACCTGTACACGCGTACCTGCGCCTACCTGCGTGCACACGTGGGACGTGTCGATCACAGCCGACGGCAGTGTTTTAGAGGTGCCGTCTCCCCAGGGTGGCAGCAGCTCCAGCCTGCGCTGTGCGGGGGCCTTGGTGCAGAGGACTCCAACCTCCAGTGAAAGCGAGCCGGGCTCCTGGGTGAGGGAGAGGCTGGACAGTGGCCTCGCCAGGCAGGGGCTGGCAGCAGAGTGGAGAGGACCTCAGGGCTAAGTGCAGGGTCCGGCCCCTCAGGGTCCTCGCGCCAGCACACGGCACAGGCCAGGCCCTCGCTTAGACTGCAGTGAGGACACACCACATGACCACAAGAGGTGACTTGTTGGTGATGCTTGATTTATTCATTAAAAAAAAGTTCTTATGTACAAAATGAGCTGATGTTTGTATCCAGGAGTTAAAAGCACTCTTTAAAAAGTTAAATAAAAGTCAGGACATGGATTACATGGAGCACTTAAATGAAGGAACACGCCACAAGGAAGCTATCACACGCACATCGGGATGCTCAGGACCGCGGCTTGGCCCAGCCGAGGCTCACCCTGGGTGGGGTCTGCCCCTGGGCACAGAAGTGGGTTCCTATTTACACCCGGGGATACAGGGGGTGTAGAAGACTCACATCCACGTTAGAGTACCAACATCACCGGCTAACGGTACACCGCCTCACAGCTGAACCCGAGTCGCAGAACTTGGGGTGACTGGAGGACATCAGTGGCCAGCATGGCCTGTCCCCACAGTGGCCATGGGTACCTTGGTGCCACAGGGCAGAAGGTGAGGAAACCAAGGCAGCAGCATCACTTGGCCTTGACCCAGGGACCAGAGGCCATGGCCTACAACCAGCGCCCTTCTGCCCCAGGAGGCGGGCTGCAGGAGGTCATCAGCAGCACTGGCTCAGCCACTGGTCAGACCCTGACTGGCTGCAGCTCCTGGACGGCAGGTATGGAGGTATGCAAGGCTTGTCCCCAGCACTGAGCTCTGGCCAAGGTGTCTGGGGACCAAACCACCTAATTGCTGTGCTTATTCACTCGTGTGCACAAATCAAGAAGGACAGTTAAACGCTCATATGGTGTGATCTCTTAGACCCACGATCGAGAGGACAGAACTCTCCAGGAAAAGAGATTTAGATGTTAGAATCACCTGGTGACTGCAGGAGCCTGGACACTGGAGGACTGGGCTGCAGAGTGTGCCACTGTCTCAGTGGGGTCTCACGAGGCCAGGACTGGCCGGTCAGTTCACTTGCTGGCCACTGTGCTTTGAAACATTTTACTGACCCAAGCTGTGATGGCAGTGTTGAGAGGAACTGCTCTGGCTGCTAAGGACCAGTGGGTTCTTTATTGAAAGCACTATTCTGGGAGCTTCGGACAGACAAGGGCATTTCAGGGCTTCCCAGAGGGTGGCCACTGCCTCCCCAGGCTTGAACATCTAAACCAGCAACTGGCTAGAGTCCTGGCCAAGGTGACCCTGGCTGTGACAGTAAGAACCAAAATGTGTGCTCACCTGCGGCTCCATGCAGACCACAGAACGCTGCAGTTAGGAACACCCTTCAAAGTCAAGACGACATTTTCCAAAAATATTTTTTACAGCACTTTAAATAATTTACAAAAAGCTACAAAAATCATATTTACCAGGACACGTCTGTTAAATAAGCCTCCTGTCAGTGTACACATGTACAGCGCTATGCACAGGACGCTGGCTGCACTCTGCTGCGCACGTGGCTCTGCACAGGGGCGGGCCAGGCTGCGCGTCACAGCTTGAGGGCTCTGCCCTTCACCGCTGAGCCGCGGTCCTCCAGGGAGCTGTCGCTGAACTCACTGGCATCGCTGCCCAGCACCTCCTGGTCCTGGTCATCCCTGGCCACCACCCTGTGGCCATACCTCAGGCCCAGGAGGCCTTCCTCTGAGCCCAAGTTCCTCTTGTCCTGCACACCGAGCCCTGCCCGGGCCTTCCTGCTTGGCCAGTGCCCACTGTCCTTCACGAGCAAGTGTGGGCTTCCGAACACGGGGCTGTGACCAGCCTGGGTCTCTCTGAAGGCCGAGAAGGACGGGCCCTGCAGAGGCAGACCCAGGTGAGGACTGAAGAGGCCGGCCTGCTGGCCTCCCCAGGGGACGCTCTTCCCAAAGTGGAACAGCTGGGTGGACAGCAGGGGAGAGAAGCCTGGAAAGGACAGGTTCTTCCTGGGGTCCAAGGTGAGGCTGTGCGGGACCCTGGCCTGCCCCTGGGTCCCCTTCTCTTTCTCACCCCCAAGGCCCCCGGTCCATGCTGAACTCCGACCTTCTGAATTCAGTGACCATGGGCTGGGCAGCCTGCTGTGGTGGGCCAGGTCACTCCAGGGGAGGGCCAGCTGGGCCTGAGGTCCCGGGCTAGGGGACAATAAGCTCCGGCTCCCATAGTTGACATGAAAGGTTCCCCCGGAGCTTCCGGTCTCAGCTCCTGCTGTGGCACAGCTAGGCAGCTGACCAAAAGCACTTCCTGTGGCTGCGGGCTCAGCGCGGGGCGGGCTCTGGTCTTTGTGAACATAGACATTTCTCCTACTGGCAGGACACCCTTTGGCAGAGGGGTTCCCACTGGCACTCCTAGGCAGTGTGGGCTCACACCTGCCTGCGGCAGCCGGGTGGTGGGAAGTGTGCTCGGTGCGGGCTGCGCCCTTCCCGCCGGGGATGAAGAGGCTGGGGGCACCCGGTCCCCCAGCCTTCTCTGTGCCCCTTAGTCCTTCAGCCAGTGGAGGGCCGCCCCTGGCCCTCTGGCTCCGTGTGCACACGCCGGGCTGCAGACCGGGGGCCAGCTCCTTCCTGCAGGGCGCCTCCGGCCGGGCTGGGCCCCCTCCTTGAACTGCTGAACTGCTCACGGACTCCTTAGCCTTTTCTGCCAAAAACTTTCTGATCTCCAGTTCGATGCTGTCGTCACTGTCCACTGAACTGT